GCTCACACAGCACTGTCTGTGAGGGAGTTTTTAGCCAGTAAACAAATAACTGATTGGAACACCCTCCCCACTCACCTGATCTCACCCCAATAATTCTTTCTTTACCCTAAGATAAAGGAAATATTGAAAGGAAGACATTTTGATGACATTCAGGACATCAAGGGTAATAGGATGACAGCTCTGATGGCCTTGCAGAAAAAGAGTTTCAGAATTGCTACGAAGGGTGGACTAGATGCTGACATTGCTGCATAGCTTCCCAAAGGGAGTACTTCGAAGGTGACCATAGTGATATTCAGCAACGAGGTATGTAGCCCTTTTTCTAGGATGACTTTGCGAACTTAATTGTATGACCTCATAAAGACAAAGGCAGCCTCCATATCTGAGTCTCCATCAACCTAGCTAACATCACCTTGCTCAGGTGATTCTCTGAGACCCCATCCTACCGAACTTGTAGGCCCATCCAAGCCGCATCCAGTGGCTTTTCCATACCTACAGCCTGTCTTGGCTCATGCTTCAGACTTTCCTAAAATCTCTCAAAGGTTCACAAACCCCAAACAAGAAGCATCTGGCCTTGGCATGCCCCATATCTCTTACTAAGCAACCCCAAGCCTGGCACTAGCAGCAGCCAACCTCAGTTTGCAGCTTGACCTCTCCCAGACACCTCCAACCCAGTGTGGGTGGCAGCCATCTGCACATTGCTTTGTGGCTCATGCCAGATGACCCCAAGCAGGTGACAGGCTGAGGCTGAACTTGGCCTGCTGTGGGACCCCTCCCAGGAGGCCCCAGGGCCAGAACACCTGGTGGCAGGCTTCAGACAAAGCCAGAGCGCCACTCGGCTGCCTCCTGGGACAACACATCCAAAGGGCAGACTAGGCAGGCACCAGAGCATGCCAAAGCGAATCCTGCTTCATAGGATCAGGCCCTGCACAACAGCTCCGCCTCTGCAGTCACAGACAGTCCTCACAACCAATCAGCCCACGAGTAAATCCCTCCCACAGTTGCAAACAGCAAACAAGACTCAACTACAACAGAACACACACATTCCACACAACAGACATACCTGCAATACCTGGCTAAGGTAACCAGAGACACTGCACCAATGGGCCCCACACTACACCCACTACATAAGACCACTCTACCAAGATCAGGAGACATAGCAGTGCTACTTAATACATAGAAACAAACATAGGGAGGCAGCCAAAATGAGGAGTCAGAGAAATATATCCCAAATAAAAGAACAGAACAAACAAAGCTCCAGAAAAAGACCTAAACAAAATGGAGACAACCCAACTAACAGATGCAGAGTTCAAAACACTGGTTATAAGGATGTTCAATGATCTCAAGGAGAACTTAAAAAAAGAGACAGGAAATAAAAAAATGGAGATAGAAAACATAAAAAAGAACCAGTCAGAAATGAAGAATACAATAGCTGAAATAAAGAACACATTACAGCAAATCAACAGATTAAACAGACAATCAAATCAGTGATTTAGAAAGTATCAGGAAACACCCAATCAGAACAGCAAGAAGAAAAAAAAATACAAAAAACACAGATAATTTAAGGGGCCTCTGGGACAACATCAAACATACCAACATTCACATCATAGGGGCACCACAAGGAGACTAGAGAAAACAAGGAATTGAAAATCTATTTGAAGAAATAATGATGGAAAACTTCCCTGATGTGGTGAAGGAAATAGACATATAAAACCAAAGAGTTCTAAAGAAGATGAACCCAAACAGGCCCAGACAAAGGCGCATAATTAAAATGCCAAAGGTTAAAGATAAAGAGAGAATCTTAAAAGCAGCAAGAGAAAAGCAGTTAGTTACCTATAAGAAAGCTTCCATTAAGACTGACAGCTGATTTCTCAACAAACACTTTGCAGGCCAGAATAGATTGGCACAAAACATGTGAAGTGATGAAAAGCAAGGACCTACAACCAAGATTATTCTACCCAGCAAAGCTACCATTTATAATCGAAGGACAACTAAAGAGCTTCCCAGACAAGACAAAAAACTAAAGGAGTTCATCACCACCAAACCAGTATTACAAGAAATGTTAAAAGGACTTCAAGAAGAAAAAAAATAAAAAATATGAAAAATAAAATGGCAATAACTACATATCTATCAACAATTACTTTAACTGTAAATGGATTACATGCTCCAATCAAAACACATGGGGGGAGAGGGGGCTGAATGGATAATAAAACAAGATCCTTTCATAAGCTCTCTACAAGATACTTCAGATTGAAAGACACACACAGATAGAAAATTAAGAGATGGAAAAAGATGTTTCATGAAAATGGAAATGAAAAAAAAAAGCTGGAGTAGCAATACTTATACCAGACAAAATAGATTTTAAAACAAAGACTATAGGGGTGACCGGTTAGCTCAGTTGGTTAGAGCATGGTGCCAATAACACCAAGGTTGCCAGTTCAATCCCCGCATGGGCCACTGTGAGCTACGCCCTCCCTAAAAGAGTCAACCATGCCACTGTAGCACAAAAAGCAATGTATAACCAATAACCATGGCTGCTCCCCAACTAAAAAAAATAATAATTAAAATTAAAAACCAAAGACTATAATAAGAGACAAAGGAGGACTCAGTAATTCCACTTCCAGGTATTTATCCAAAAAAACGCAAAACACCACTTCAGAGGGACACGTACATCCTTATGTTCACTGCAGCATTATTTACAATAGCCAAGATATGGAGGCAACATGGGTGCCCATTAATAAATTAATGGATAAAGAAGAGGGGGTACATATATGCAATGGAACATTAGCCATAAAAAAAGAATGAAATCTTGCTATCTGCAACAACATGGATGGACCTAGAGGGTATGCTGAGTGGAATTAAATCAGACAGAGAAAGACAAATGCCATATGATTTCACTTATATGTGGAATCTAAAGAACAAAATAAACAAAAAATAAAAACAAACTCATAGAGAACATTTTGAGGGATGCCAAATGTGAAGGGGATCAGGGGATGGGTGAAAAAGGGGAAGATATTAAGAAGTACAAATTGGTAGTTACAAAATTATCATGGGGATATAAAGTACAGCGTAAGGTATATAGTCAATAATATTATAATAACTATGTATGGTGTCACATGGGTCCTAGATTTATCAGACTAATCACCTCATAAGTTATATACATGTCTAATCTCTGTGTTGTACACCTGAAATTAACATTATTGTATGTCAACGGTAATTGAAAAATAATAAAAATAATAATAAACATGACTATTTGAGAAAACAGTCATTTTTAAGAAAATAACCATCAAATGCTTAGCTTAAAAAACGCCAATTTGGGGGCCGGCTGAGTGGCGCGATGGTTAAGAACTGGCTTGG